ATTAAGTCACTGTATATATTATTCTGTGTTGTGATTTTTTTGTATATTAAAATCAATAGCATGTATATAATATTCAAAGTACTCTGCCTTGTGATTTTTTAATGTATGTTCACTGCTTTGTGCTTTTCTAGGATATGGAAGGTGGAACAAGTTCTGTGGGTGGAGCTGAAAGTGAAAAGTCTACCTTGCGTTTGTGAATCATGACTTTATTTTGGTGTTACATACATCATATTTGGTAATTATGATGTTAGATACATCATGATTTAGCTTTTTTATGCATTTCGTTAAATATGATGTTACATACATCATATTTGGTAATTACTGAATAGTATATGTAACTTTATATAAGTAATGCGCTTCACCCGAGTGAGGCGAGCGCTTTTTTGCGCCTTGCGCCTCAGGGGCTAGAAGGCCCCTAGCGCTTCAGGTGCGCCTTACGACTTTGACTACCTTAGATATTCTAACTAGATATTCTTATTGCAGGTATTGTGTTGGGGTTTGAACTGTCAGGAGGATGCTAAAAGTTGCTATCACTTAAGTATTTTTCTCTATTCTACAAGTATTAGTTCTAGACCATTTGTCTTAGTTGAGAAGTGATTATTACGTTCACAAATAGATTAATAAGTTTTTACTTCACTAGATGATAAAGTTTATGTATAGTTAGCATTTAGTAGGTCTACATAAATGCTAACTTGCAGTGCTTCTTGTTTTGAATGGTGTAATTTTCTAGTAGCGCTTCTTGTTTTGAATGGTGTAATTTTACAAAAATACTAATGTAGATTCTCAAACTATGCAGGCTATGTTTTACGAGATATTGATAAAGACTTGCTTTATTGGATCCCGATGGTGATGCCAGGAATAATGATGTCTAGTGTGTACAAATAAAAATGTTGTATGGTTAAAGTGTAGATTTATAGCATATTGTAATAGATACATTGTAAACTAATTTCATTAATAAATACAAGTGTTGATATTTTATTTTGATTATTTATTATTATTTATATAATCTTTCATTGAATCAGTAAAAAAATAATATAATGATTATTATAGTATTTATATGACACCAATGTGTTGTATTTTTCATGATACCAAAGTGTCACAAATTTTTATGATACCAATGTGTCATAATGTTGAATTACATTTATGTGTCACAATTTACTGACACTATTATGTTTTATGGTCAGTGACACTATATTTAGTGTCACTAGCCGCCACTTTTCCCGACACTTTTTTAGTGTCACAGAAACTTTCAGCGACACTAAATTAGTGTCACTATAGGCCCTTTTTCTACTAGTGAAGTGATATGGTGCAGACGGGGAAAATATTTGCTTCGCCTCAGCATCAGGCAGAGAAGCTTTTAGCATCTCTCGACATTAGGCAGGGAAGGTGCATGTTTCTCCCCGACTTCATGCAGAGAAGTTAAGAATCTTCCCGACATCATGCAAAGAATCTGGGCATCTCACGAACATCAGGCGGAGAAACTCTTAGCATCCCCCGGCATCAGGCAGGGAAGGTGTGTGCCACTCCTCAGCATCAGGCAGGGAAGGTGTGTGCCTCTCCCCGGTATCAGGCATTGAAGCTCTAAGCATCTCTCTGACATCATGTGGAGAAGTTGTGTGCTTCTCCCCGACATTAGATGGACTTGCATCTGATGTCAAAGGTCGAGACTTAACATCTTTCGTCGCATCCAAGGTAGCAAATGCGCTTCTCCGACCATCCATACCTACGAGGAAACGAACGTCAGGGCAGGGCAGCAAGTGCACTTCTCCGACCTACCATACCTATGAGGAAATGAAGGTCAGGGCAGGGTAGCAAATGCTCTTCTCCAACCTGCCATACCTGCGAGGAAACGAACAGAGTAAGCGAGGATTCTGTCGGTTGGGTTATCTCCCCTTACCTGGCCTAAGGAGCAGTTTATACATTTGTTCTTCTTGGAAAGCCGCTCTTCGCAAAGCAGGGAAGCTTCTCTCTTTTCCCCAGCACCAGGCGGAGAAGCTCCGGGCTTCTTCCCTGCCTGAAATAGACCTTCATCTGACTTTGAAGGCCAAAACATAGTATCTTGCACTTCAGCTAAAGCAGCGAGAGCACCTCTTTTACCTGCCATGTCTCTAACAGGTAATAATAACAATCAACAAGGACTACTTATCATGGTAGACTACTCACTGCATCTATCTCGAGAACATCAAACGAGCACTGCTCACAAGTGAAGACCGGTCTTTGATATTCCCTCGGCGGATGGCGACCGTTGCAGCTGCACAAGAAGGCCTAAGAGCTTACCCTTTAGATCTATTTTGGGTGCATTCAAAGAAGAGATCTCTCCACCGGAACAAGACCCTGGGCTGCTAATAGGACAAACAAGACCCCAGGCTGCTGATCGGAAGAACAAGACCTTGGGAGGCTAATCGGATAAACAAGATCTAAAACTGCTACCCAGACGAAGGAAACCTTATCCTCTCGCAAGCAGTGGGGATCAATGTGCACAGATGTGCAACCGCCCTTTCCCGAGCATACCTCGGCTCGCCATTCCCGGCAAACAAGTATGTGACTGGCCTCTCCTGGTCATACCTTGGCTCGGCATCACCAGCAGACAGTTTTGCGGGTAGTCTCCCCCGAGCGTGCCTTGGCTCGACCGCCACCACTGGCAAACAGATTAGCGACTGGCCTTCCCAGAACATCTCTCTGCTTGCCAGTAAGGCAGACACTCAATCAAGAACCGACGGGACTAACCTTCCTCTGTTTTATTTTGAGGTACTGGTGTACTCTTTTTCCTTCACTGGGATTTTTTCCCACCGGGTTTTTTCCCAGTAAGGTTTTAACGAGGCATCCCCTCATCATAAACAAAGGAAGAGACCTTCCCGGATGGAACAAAGAAGACCTCAGACTACTGGTTAAATAACCAGGAACCTGGGCTGCTACCCAGACAAGGAGGGTCTCATCCTTGTGCAAACAATGAGACCATGGCGGACAGTTACCTGACTAACCTTTCCGGGCGCACCACAAATCGTCGTTATCAACAAGCATCTATGTAGCTAGCATGGCAACTGGGCCGATTACAAAGCAGCTCAACTACTCCCTTTTAGCCGAGTCCACTACTCGACTAAGGGAGTGGGGGACTCGTGTTGGGATAATGGACCAGGCCCAGTGCCGTCGGCCCGTTATCCCTGAGCTTTGGCCCAACTAGGCCCAAGACACAGTCTCACGAGCGGAAATAGCCCATTGTTCATTTACTTATTTATCGGGCTTGTTCGCCCAATAGCTTGGACATCTATTATGTATTTGGGCCAAGCCCGCGTAGGTTAGGCTTTGGACTTGTGATGGATGCCTATAAATAGGCCATCACCCCCATGTATTCTCGATGTTATTTTCACTATACTGAAATGCTGCTAGTTTCTCTATCCGGAATATTTTCTACCAACACGTAGTACAATATTGCACATTGATGATTAAGCATTTCGATTGTCAATGTCTTATTCATAATTGCGTTCCCTTGGACTTGTGTTGTCAATAAGTAAGTGGGAGCTTATAATCCCTCCGTCCCGAAAAGGTTTGTCAAAATTCCTTTTTTGGATGTCCCAAAAAGATTTGTCATTTCCATTTAAAGTAAGGAATATGTGGCTAAAGTTAATTCTCTCTCCTCTGCACAAATTTCAACCACACAGTTTTTACTTTATTAATCCACGTGAAAGTCAAAGTTGGCGAACCTTTTCGGGACGGAGGGAGTATGATACTAACTTCGTCCCGTAAAGAAGTTCTCACTTTCCTTTTATGAATGTCCCAAAAAGAAGTTCCTATTTCTATAAAAGGAAACCACTTTTATCCCAAAAGTCATATCTACCCTTACTTTTTACCCACTTTTTGCTTTATTTGACATAAAGTAAGGGTAAACATGGAAAGTCAAAACAAAATTCTACCTTACATAAATATGTGTGTAGGTCAAACCGAGAACTTCATTGTGGGACGGAGGGAGTATAACATAAGGTCCTAAAATAGCCCCAATCAATGATCATCAAGAAAGGAATATTGATGATATGCGATAAGATTGGTATGTGGATTGCATCATACTTTTAGAAAGTATAGTTGATCTCACAACTATGAGTTCCTGTAATTCATGATGGTCACATAGACATTTTAGAGAATATCGGCATACCCACCGAGAGACTATCTAATAAGTTCTATTCATGTGTCAATGGGATTATCGGCGTATAGAGTAGTGTAATAGTCCTCTGACTTGAGGTCAATAAGTACTACATGTGCGGAAGAGATCAAGATAGAACATTCTACTTCTCATATATAGATGGATCATAAAGTCATTGGGCCAATGCAAAGATATATTCACTTTATATATTGAATATGATCGTTATGGATCATCTAGAAAGATTGAAAGATAGGGACTAAGTTATTGGAATAGACACAATATCAAGTTCTAGACTTAGTTGAATGTTCGTTGAATGAAAGGACCGCATCACTATGAGCTCTATATTACAGGGAGTTTGAGTAGTCCTTGCAAACATCCATTTTTTGAAAGAAGAAAGCTTCTATTATAATAATACCAAAAACCTTAACAACATCATCCTCAAACCTACCCCATAACTTTAACTTTCTTAAACCAACCGACCCTCTCACTCCCTGATCAGACATAGAATAGACTACCCAAAATTGAGCGAGACTATTCGCTGAACATACGAGACATTCGAAGCTACTAACGGCCCAAATAGCCTGATTACTTCCACCTAAACTTCCATCAAACAGAACCCAACTCACAACCCTACTACCACCCTCAGAGTCAAAAACAACAAAACAATAAATGTGTTGAGTCATAAAACGAAAATGAAATGCAATTAAAAAACTAGTAGGCATCCGATGAAGACTATCCGCTTCATCTTCATTCTGGATCTTCTGTGAAACCTTTACTGTTGTGCCAGGCGAGTTGCTGAGATGCTTCTGGAGTTCTCGCCTCCTTCACGTTTTTTCCTTTCTGTTTTTTTTTACTTTAATTGGATAACTGTTTTACTATTTCTTAATAAATTGTTAATCATTTCACTAGAAAGTATTTCTTTTCTTCATTATTACGTAGTACGATTTATACATATAATACGTAGTATCATTCAAAGAAATGAGGTATATATACTACGTAATAAAGAAGCCCATGAAAATTTTGGGCCATCGAAAAACACGTCGAATCGCCCTAGATAGTAGATACTACCGAACACGAATAAGGTGAAAACAACCAAATATCGAACAAAACGCCTGAAGGCTCATCAAAATCAGGAGCGCAATTGCAGCAAAGAGAGTGAGAAATCGCCATGACCCAAACACATATCGCTTCATTATATTTCCCATTTTGACCTTCCAACTTTCGTGGTAATACTTGTTGACATCATCGATTGCCTTATCCAAGAAGGGCACTTTGGTCAACCTCACGGATCTGCTCATTCCGTTCCACAGCTTAGCGACCTCCTCGTCACTCTTCAATCGATTAAGAATGACGCCTCTCTCCCTAAGAATTCTGACGTCATCGTCCGTGTCAATAATCCCATTCATCAATTCCGTGTAACGCGTCAACACTACTGGCCCTGAGGCCATACCTGCCTCGTATGCTACCAGGTTTCTCAAGAACACCTATCATTGGGGAAATATATCATCAATTATCATTCTAAAATGGAAAACATAAATTCATCATATTTGGAATAAAAACTGTGTACTTGGCCACAAAAGTAACTACCATGAGCCCATAACCCTAGCCTAGTTTTGTGAATATATAGTACAGGTAGACATGGACCGATTGTAGTTCAGATCCTACTCTCTACATAGAAGTAAAACGTAATATAGGGGTGTTTGGAACTGATTCTGCTTCTTTTTTAAAGTAGAAGCAGAATCAGTTTTCAGAAGCCGGTCCCCTCCAGTTTCCGAAAAAACTTATTCTAGGAGTAAATTAGACCACCAAAATCACTTCTGCACTTTCAGCCAAACATTTCAACTTCTGCTTCTGCTTCAATAACTTTTATGTGCTTCTGAAGGAGCAGAAACAATTTTAAGAATCAGATCCAAACACCCCCATAATTTCTCATATAAAAGTGTCATTATTTTTCTTATAGTATAGCTCTCTATTCTTTCATATAGTATAATTGAGTTATGAAATGTTGACGGTTTCTAACTACGGAGTATATATATTAACATTACTTTTACAACAATTGTTTAATTCATTAAAAGATGCAAATGCTTAATTATACATATAACATAATTTACACTTGTACATTATAACAATTAATTAATTCATAATATCTACCTAACATACATCCTTATTGCTTGGACTCTGCATCAAATAATATTGGCTATATTTTGAAAAAGCTGCTAGAGTTGAAACGTAAAAACATTGTAAATTAAATGTTTTAATAGAAACAAAATAAAATTTGAACAGTGGGAGGGTAAAATTGACATAAACTTGCAGTTAATTAAAGGGTTTAATTGAAATGCTACAATTAGTAATATTTCAAATCAGCTGGTTATTTTTAGATCCAGCTAAATTCAACTCTTCATCCAAAAAAAGACTACATCTAAATTAATAGTTTGGATTGATTAAACTCCAACTAATTTTGAGTTGAAATGGTCATCCAAACATAGCCATTTTAAACTTTGGTTCAAATTCAATACCCAAATTAACATTAATGAACTGTGTTTAAACACCAAGTTAAGATATTACGAAAATATGATACAAAAACATCTTATGCACTCCTCAAATTTCAAAATTCGTGATCTTTTAAAATCTATCAAAGTCGTAGTTGGGAACACCCCTTTAAAAATGATTACGAATTGATACTTAAAATAAGAAAATAAGAATGATATTATTTTAATTAAAAACAAAATTGAATGTTATTTTTGAAAGAATGAAGTTATATAATACGAAGTATAAACATCTCGAGTCCAACATTCCAACTACAAACCCAATCAAATAAATAAAATAATACACATCAAATCTTACATATTTTTAAATAAAGGGAAAAGTCTCTACACATTCTTCCCATTATTGCCTAGCTAAGCAAACTCTAACCCAATATATTTAAACCAAAGCTCCTACAAGTTCAATACTCCAAACGGACTCCCGACATTATAAAATAGAGAATAACATCTAGAAAATAATCAATATATAGGAAGCTAAGCTATTTTTTGTACATGTTGTAAATCCGAGATCTTAACTAATTAATTTGTCACAATAACAAACCCTTATGCGAATATGTCACAACAAGAAACCCTTACGCGATCATAGCAAATGCTTAAAATGAAAAATGAATTTCAACATTGCGCAAGATCCATCCCTTCCACAATGTAAGATATGTTAAGAGTTGGTGCATGCTTAAAAAATTATAAATCGACTGTTTTACATTTTTTACATGCAAAAAGTAATAAAATGTAGTATGGATCCATAAAAAGATAACAATTAAATATTAAATAGAGTGAAGTGCCTTACAAAATAGGATGAAGATGGTAACAAAATCCGAGGGAAAACTAATATAGACTAAAATTTACGTACTACATATTTTATGATGATGGATCATAATCACTTGTCTTGTTATGCTCTTATGTTATTTTTATCTTGTAGTGTTTTTATACTCTTTTATCTCTTAATTTTTTATATTTCTTATATTCCTATGTTATTGTTATCTTATACGGAGTATTTATTAATCTTTATCTTATTCGTTTAATCCTTTTTTCTTCTTGTATGTCTTCTCTTTTTAATTGGCATCAATATCATGAATCGATCCATGTTAGTCGACCCCAAAATTTTTTGGGATTAAGGCTTGGATGTTGTTGTTTGGATCATAAGCACTTAACAAATACAAATTTATAAATGGTTGTACCTTTGAATAAGATGTCGTAGTTAATTCATAATAGACAATTGGTGGAGCCAAAAATATTTTTTTGAGGGGTTAGAGCTTTGAATTTGGGCCATATCTTAATATTTCAAAGTGTATTTGATACTTTATCGATGTTTGTACTGGTATGTATGTCAAAATATGACTACTCAGTAGAGAACATATACGTAGTATGTTTTAATAGGCATGCTTGTTAAAACATCATTTGCCGACTCCGAGGAAGATAGCTGAAGTTCCAAAATTTTAAGCAACGGGAACAATGTGATTTGATATGATTCTCAAGTTTTCCCATGTCCCTGAGAACATCGTTGTTGAGGGTTGTTGATTTTCTCTCTCCTGAATGTCCGCCAAGTGGAACGTCGTTGTTGATTAGCTCAACCTTCCGGTCGTATAAATGGGGAAATCAAACGATTTTACTCATATTTAGGGGATTAATTTATTTTTACACCTAACTGATTATTATATTATACCCAAAGTCTCGTACAAAGTACTCCCTCCGTTCTCTAATACTTGTCCCTCTTTCTATTTTGGGTTGTTTTCTAACATTTGTCCCTCTTTTCATTTTTGGAAAGTTTTTTCAATAAATATACTCATTTACCTTCATTCTCTTTCCTACTTTTTCATTTAAACTCAACCCACTACACCTTTTACACTACCCCTATTATTTTCCTCTTAAAACTTGTGCCAGACCCTATAGGGCAAACTAATGGAGAACGGAGGGAGTATTAAACTTGGTCATATTTTTATAAATAAGTTGGATTTCAGTAATACTTTGAAACATAAATCAAAAAATTAAATCAAGGTCGATAAAATAAAATGCAAAAGACTACTACAAATGGAGTGTATATACAGACTCACCGCAGTATTCAAGTCCACGCAAATGCAGGGGAGGTAAAGCACCACCTTTTTCTCATCAAAGTAAATGTCTGCAATTCCTTCTTCCTTCATGGGTAGAAAAGTTACCCCGGCTTTATGAAGCTCAGAAACGGATGGGATAGCGATTTCCTCTGCTAATGGAGGGTTGTTGTTATCAGCGTTCCTACTGCCCTTCTTTTCCCTTTCAAGTGCTTCGGCTTCTTTATCTTCGCCGGACGGAGGGAAACGCCAGAGATAGGAGGACTCAATGGGTTGCAGCACTAGCTTTAGTCCAGGGACGAAAAGGGACATCACCTTCCATGGCATTATAAACAGAATCCCCTTTATGAAGCGACCCAGTCGACATTTGATCATTTTCTCAATCATCTTCCGTGCACCATCTACAAGCAGCACTTGTTTGAAATTGCTTTATACAAATTGTACATTGTCTATTACACATACAACTACAACTAGGCAAAGTTTTGAAATCAAATCCTGTCCATTTTCAAACGAATTGTCTGTGTACACAGACAACTAGGAGAGTTTGCGTACACTTTGTGTACAACTCATGTGGACTACGATTTTTTTTATCATACTAAGATTTTTCTTTAACAAATCACTTTTTAAAGTAATTTTAGAAAAAGTGCTTAGGATGTTTTTATTTGGACTGTTTTCAGTCCAGACCAGACTAGACAGATCGACATGGATAGGTATAAAATACACAGAGACGAGACATTTACCAGACCAGATAAGAGTATAAGACTACACCGGACCAGACCAGCAAATTTCAGTTCAAGCAAAAGCATCCTTAATAGTAAAAAAATGGTAGTGTTTGAGAAAAAAATGTTTTTATAAAGTAAAAGTTTGTAGTGTTTGGTATAATATGTGCTTTTAGTGTAATAGAATAAGGGAGTGTTTGGGTTTGCTTCAACTTTAAAAAAGTGATTTTTAAAGTGATTTTGGGAAAAGTGATTAATAGTAAAGTTGGTAGTGTTTGAGAAAAAAGTGATTCTGGAAAAGTAAAAGTTGGTAGTATTTGGTAAAATAAGTACTTTTTGTGTAATAGAAAAAGTGAGAAGCAGTTTAAGGGAGTGTTTGCGATTGCTTGTGCTTTTTAGAAGTGATTTTTTTAAGAGATTATGGAAAAAGTGATTGATAGTAAAAGTAGGTAGTGTTTGTAAATAGAAGTGATTTTAATTAGAATGTGAAAGTTGAAGTGTTTGATAAGAAAGTGATAATTGATGTAGTTTGTAGTTAAAGTACAAAAATACCCTTGACCAAATTAAATCAAAATAAAAAAAAAATTAATGGAAATGAAGCCCATCCATGCGGACTCCTCTTTCTCGATCTCCTTCTCCGCCTTGACCTGCATGTTTCTTCACCAATTTAGCAGCCGCTTTTCCTTCAAACACCAGTCTTTCGTGCTGGGTTCACCGTCGGCCATCATCTTCTCCATCATTTCTTTGCTCGCCGCCGACCACCATCATATCCGACGGGTTTGATTTGTCGAGCGAGAAGGAGATTATCATCCATGGCGGCCTTGATGGACCTCACCTCTTTGAAGAATTTTGTCAGGTTCTTTTCATCCGCCGGGTGGAGTTGCATAGAGCTTGGAATTGTAGCCGGAAGTGGAGGGGGAGCAGAACGGAAGTATATTGTATACATTCGGTGTAGAGCAGAAAGAAGGGGCCAGAGGGCATTTTTGGTTTAATAAATTTTTGTCATCTAATAATTGTCCCTAAAGTTTCAACTATTTACTGAAAAACCTAGAAGCACAAAAAAGCATCCCAAGGGTTGCTTTCAACTTTTGGGTTAAAAGTGCTCAAATTTAAGCTGAAGTGGATCTTTGCAAACACCAATTTTAACTTATTTTAACAAAAAAGCTAAGAAGTACTTTTGGGTAGTGATGGAGTATATGGCCCAGGAACCCCCGGCCCATAGACTCCTACTTCTCCTACACAAGTCCATTGAGCTCAGGGAACAACTCGGGCCCAAATACAACGGCCCAAGCCTCAAAGTAGCCCAGAATGCACACTGGGATGCCTTCGGCCTCCTTGGCCGAGGGCCCCAAAACTCACAGGATAGCCTTCTCTGGCATAGGAAGCTACTGGGAGAAAACGGCGAAAAACATAAGCCTTCGGCATTGCCAAGCCCTCGGCATCATAGCCTTCGGTCACATGAGGCCTTCGGCTACTAGAGGCCTTCGGCTGCACAGGGGTCCTGGTCGCATGGAGCCCTCGGCTACACCAGGAGCCTTCGGCTAAACGTGCTCAATCATCAAAGATTCCTTTTGGAGACAGCCAACCACCGCATTTAATGCCACGTCACATCCGCCAACCGCATTCAATGCGGTGAACGTACCTCTGCCGGTGCCACCCGGCTGATGTGACCCTTCGGCCGTTGGATTACTGACACGTGTCCTCCCATCGCATTTATTGCTGCTATAAATAGCAGCCCATTTCTCCTTGTAATGGACATCATCTACACACCACTCCATATCTCGAGTTCATTTAATAAAATCGACTCTCTCTCCTCCTATTTTGCTCTGACTTCTCTCTAGTTATTCCCGTGATAACCCCTCGGATAAGACACCCCCCGGGTAGATTGTCCATCATTTGGTGCTCTCGTTGAGAGGTCTGAACTATCAAGTAAGAAACCCTCCCCCTCTACCAAACACGAAATACTTACCAAAAATGGGAAGAACCACCCGTGCCCAGTCCAAAACCCTTGAGGAGAACCACATAGCCCCCGGCGAGACTAACGGGGCTGAGGCCTCCAACAGGCTCTTAGTACCCGAGGGTGGTATCATCCTCGAATTGGAGCAGGCTACCGCTGACCTCCGTCAGCAGCTACAGAAGAACGCCCCCGATGCCCGCATTGGCCTTGATAATCGAAGGAGGGATCGGAGTGAGAACCAAGTTCCCCCTCCGGCCCCGGCCATCGATCTTCAGGCTGCCTTTGCGGCCTTTGTTCAGAACATGGCCCTCAATTCTGGAGCCCTCGCCTCTCAGGCACCCCTCCAGCCCTACGCTGGAGGGAACGTTATTCAATTACCACCGCTCCCTCCTCTGTTCAACAATCCTCCCCCGGGGATTGGGAACGCCGAAGGGGTCATGGCGCAGGATACCGCCTCCCAAGAGGCCCAATCCAGGGATAAACGTCCCTTGATGAAGGAGAAACCCCGGACCTCTGCACTTGAGAGGCTTGGGGGAGCTCCCATACGCCGAGGGGTCCAAGACCGCCTCGGCAAACAGGAATTCAGCAGGCCTCAGGAGAGTGGAGCCTCCGCTTCGGGAGCCGAGGGCATACCTCCACCCCGGAGCAAGGGCAAAGCCCTCCTCCATGCCGATGACGCCAGACACCAAATCAATCAAGCGCAATCCTTCCGGGCCAACTCCCAAGGGGTTGCCCCGAAGGATCCCAAGGACGAAATCATTGAAGCCCTCCTCCGTCAACTTGAGGAGAATCGTCAGGCTCCCCCGACGGCTTCCACAGCTAGGCCAGATCCGGAGTACGCTGACCTCCGGGCGCAGGTGGAGGAAATGAAGCGTAAACTGGCCGAAGGCTCAGGCGAACCCCTCATTCAACTCCGCACTAGAACACCCTTCACCCCGAGGGTGTTGGCGGCCAAAATCCCCCACAAATATCGCGGGCAACCCATCAAACCATACGAGGGGAAAACAGATCCCCAAGAACACTACAGCAGATATCAGAACAGTATGATGATGATGGGGGCGTCGGATGAATACTTATGCCGTTGGTTCCTTTCCACCTTGGAGGGTCCAGCGTATGAGTGGTTCAACCGGTTGCCCGAAGGCAGCATCGATTCCTGGCAGGAACTTGCCCACCGCTTCCTTACACAGTTTGCCGGGAGGCACCGCTCGAAGAAGCACTTCTCCCACCTCCTGAACGTGAGGCAGCAGAAGGAAGAAACCCTTCGGAGTTTCCTAGAACGCTGGAGGCAGGCCTCCCTCGAGGTCGAAGGCGCCGATGACAGGACCCTGATGGCCCTCTTTCACACCGTCCTCCGCAACGGTAACTTCTCCAGGAGTCTCATCACTGATCCCCCTCGCGATTATACGAAGGCCCTTCAGCGGGGGGACCGTTATGCTGAAGCAGAGGAAATCGAGAAGGACCGCCGCAACACGGATCCTTCTCAGAAGAATGAGGGCAGGAATCGACCCGGAGGGCCTCCCCCTCCGGCCAACCGAGAGCCCCAATATAATGATCGCCCCCGGGGTGGCCAAGCCAGACCCGGGGGCGGTTACAAAAACAATCCGAAGGCATGGGCGCAACCCGTCCTCCTTGAGCACCCACGCACTCCCTTGACGCATCCCGTCAGCGTCATTCTCGATCATGCAGAAGAGCGAGGGCTAGTGGAGCGAGACTCCCGCACACCCCTCGAGATCTATGCCATCGGCCCTGATGAGCCCTATTGCCGCTTTCACCGCCACCATGGACACAAGACCGACGACTGCCATCAGCTGAAGAACGCCATCGAGAGGCTGATACAGGCGGGCCACTTGTCTCAGTTCATCAGGGGCCCTCCTCCCCAGGGCCCCCCTCATCATCAAGGGCCTCCGCCGAAGGCTAACAAATGGGTGAACCCCAACACCATCCCCTTGGGAAACCCACAGGGGAAGAAGCGAGAAATTGGGGGCCTCGACGACGAGGGAGAGGGCTCCCATCAACAATACAAGCGCCATATTCATATGATCAACGGCGGCAACACCGGAGGCGATTCAACGAGCCAAAGGAAGAAGTGGGCACAGTCCCTCTACATTGGGGAGGTCAATCACATGCCCCCTACTAAAAGGCCGAGGGCGGATCCCATCTTCTTCACAGATGCGGACCTCCCCTCGGGCTCCCTGCCGCATAGGGATGCCCTCGTCATCCGCACTGAGATCAATAACGCCATCATCCACCGGACTTACGTTGACACAGGGAGTTCTGTCAACGTCATGTATCTCAGCACTTTTCAAGAGTTGGGACTCGACAGGGGGTCCCTCCGACACATCAACACCCCCCTCTCCGGATTTACGGGGGACAGCATAGACGCCGAGGGCGTCATCACCCTCGTGGTTGAGTTCGGCGACGGATCCCATAGAGCCAAGCTCGAAGTGGAATTCGTCGTCGTCAACCTCGACTGCGCACACAACATCATCCTCGGCCGGCCCGCCCTCGAGGATTTGGAAGCCGTCATCTCTATGAGGCATCTCTGCCTCAAGTTCCCCACACCCACCGGCATCGGCTACTCGAGGGGGAATCAAAAACTCTCCAGGGCCTGCTACCTTCAACTTACCAAGAAGGTTAGTAAAACAGAACTACGTGTGGACACCATCACCACCAGGGCCTTGGAGGAAGAAGAAGGCAGGCCGAGAGCTGAGCCTGCCGAGGAGAC